AAATTTATATTTTCTGCACTTTAATATTGCGGTTAATATTTATTTAACAAATCCCCAATTAACTGAACATAAAACATAACCTATAAATTTTAAATTCAAGTATTCTTTTCACAAACTGGATAAATACCAATTGCAGTGTTATATGTTGACAAAGTGAATAGGAATATTATACTGTATTTGTATAATATATTCTAGCTGAACTGAAAAATAAATATTCACATTAATGCATTGTTATTCTTTTATTAAAAAAAGAAAAGTTTAACAGTTAACAAAATGCCAAATTAATAAAAAAAAATGTTAATTTAAATATGTTTTTTATTATATATTGCAATAACAACAGTACTGTAACAGAATTGCCAGTCTTGCAATATTTAAAACTAATGTTCAGATAATGAAACATGGAAATTTCATTAAATTTACTATAAACATTCAATTAAATTATATCATGTGAGCACAACGTATGATATAACAGCATAGTAAATAATATTCAACAACTTGTTAAGAGTAGCATACCTGTCTCAGAAAATTATTATTGTTCAGAAGATTTTTGTGAATATCATATATAAATGCATTTAAAGCCAAATTAATAACATTTGGGGTTCTAATGTCCATTGTCAGTAAGAGTAAACTTTTTCCAAGGTTGTGCTAAAATTGTATTAATTCTTTTTCTGAACTTTATAAATTTAATTAATAGAAAACATTGGTATATTAATTTTTCTATTTCTGATAATCTATTAAATTGAATATCCTTAACCAAAATTTATGAAGACAACCAAATCAGAATATTATTACAGTGAAATCCCAATTATCTGAGTCAAACCTATAATTGAATATACGTTATTTTATAAAAGAAAGCTTAAACCAATAACATGTATTAAAAAATAACTTATTTTTGTTACCTTTTATCATTTAACTTCAATGTAAGACAAATCATTCATATTAAGATGGAACTACAATAATATATTTTCCAGATGTAGATGTGTAAGTGAGATGTAGCTTGTAAGTAGTGTAAAATTGTGAGGCAGTATGGATTCATTAAATTCCATGTTTCTGTTATCAAATAAACTCAGAAAGAAAATTCTGTACTATGTGTCCAGGATAAAATGTATCCTTTTGATAGATTTTGTTGCATATAAGTACATATGTTGAAAGTCTTTACTATAAAATTAATAATGTATGTGCATATACCTAGAAATCCGCAAAGAGATCATGACTGAGGAGGGACCTGTTAGGGTGGAAATGCATATCATAATAAGTATATAGAAGAAAATTGTCTCTCAAGGTTGTTGTGTTCTGTGGCTGTCCAGTTTGATAAGTCCATCTGTAGGAATGTGTGCTAGCATGAAACATAGGAAATGAGTCAATGGACAAAAAGCGATCTGAATAATACACATTTTTTTTTCTTAAAACTATTGTATTACCTATATAATAAATGATGTAGTAAAAACTGTCACTCTTATAAACGATTAAATACACTATAAAAAAGGGTTAAAAATGATATGGTATATCTTTCATATTTGTAATTTTAAATCCAAAATGGTTGTGGTTGTCTTTTATCCAAGCTTTCAGTTATCCAAGGTAGCATTTGTCCACATAACTTGGATAATTGGGGTTCTTCAGTACTAATTTTGCAGTACAGTAAATCTGATATTGTCATATTTCATAGTTAAAATTAAATATAAATAAATATTTTTAATATATATTATTGTTATATATTTTCTTAAAAAAGTCAAATTTTAGAACAGCCATCAAATTTATTCAAATATGTAATCTAGAATTCCAAGAAAATTACTTATTAAAAGTACTCAGTTTTGACAAAAATACATTTTAATTAGAAATATTTAAAAGAGACAATTAGGATGGAATGATTATTAAGGACAGTATTCATTCTTTTTCATATATAATTACTGTATGAACAATGTTAATAATTTTGATAATGTTGAACAATGTTGATAAGCCTACAGTAGTCCTTCATTATATCACTCATTTGGATATATCATGCTTTTGTTTAGTCTTCCAAATGTAAAAGTGCTTTAACCAATAATTTTTAAAACACATTCATTGCCATTGAATTTCTACTGGAAAAAAAAAAAAATATTGCTTTATTCCAATCACTGACCTTGAAAACTATGATGGTATATAATACAACCCACAAAAAAATTAAAATTTTATTTGTATGAAAACAGATGGATAGATAATCTAGTTATATTGTGCCATTTGATACATTACTCATTTGATTTGTCTTGCAACATGCATGATATAATGAGAGTCTACTACAATAAAATATTTTATCACAAATTAACAATAATAGGCATTGCTCTATTAAAAAATTTAAATAAATATCTTTCAAATTACAATATAATATAGAAAGATATTTTTTCATCATATGTAATTTACATATATTTATGTAATTATAAAAATTAAAAATAAATTTCATTATTTCAAGCAGAATTAAGATATAAACATATATATCTTAATTCAAAAAGTTTATTTTATCAATACTTCTGTAACAACCAGAGCACTTTTCCAGTAAAGGACTGGTTATCTGACAAATATTTAATTTAATTTACAAGTCTGCCTCAGGCCAACATAGAACTTTCTATCATTTAAAATGAAATGCATCTTCATTCTGTAACACTTTTTAAATTTTAAATTATGGAACAACCAGGTTTCATTCTATTATGTCAATTTGAAAATTTGCTGGGAAAGTGCTCTGATTGTTACAGTTCAGAAAGCTAGAATATATTCAATGCTTAAGTCATATATCTTTTATCACTTAATACACATTGTGTAATTGATAAGCTTTTCAAAAATTGTAATAAAATTTATATTTTCTGCACTTTAATATTGCAAATTGTCAAAAGTTATATCTCTTTGCAGAGAACTTATTTTTGAATCTTTATTTAAACCAAATTAATTGTATATATTCATACATTATAAATATATATTTGCATTTTTAAATAAATATTGTAAGTGCCGCTTTTCACTGTTTACACTTTTAAGAACATTTACATTTCCAACACATTGTTTTCACTGACATTCCCTACTATAAAAATTACTTTCATTTTATCTTATGCAAATTATAAGTATTCTTGACAAATAATTACTGTTAATTTAAAACAGATTCAAAATTAATTTAATATAACATTATGTTGATTTGTTTTATTTATTCCAATATAATGGAAATATTAATATGATCTTTTATTAATTGATGCATTTTTATTACTCTCACTTCCTCAGCAGTTTACTTACAAATATAATCAAACATTTGGTGTTTGATTATATTTGATGCATTTTTATACTGTTTATTTTCAGAAAATTAGTCATATAGTTTTCAGATAACTTTTTTAGACCAAAACTATGTAATTTTATTTCATATTAATCTAAAATTTTTTATTTTATTGATTGTCAGTGTTAATTTTTATAAAAATTTTCAGCTCCCAAATACAGAATTTGAAATACTTTTATATTAGTAAATGATAATGTAAATCTTAATAAATAAACAATATGCACACTCAAGAAAGAAACCAAAACAGAAATATTCACATGACCTTCAGCCTTATGGATTAGATGATTTTAACAATTAGCTGTAATCAACCTGATGGAACCATCAGGTTGTATCACACATTTAATAATAGGATTCTGTCTTTAGGTTAAATAAGTAGTCATATGCAAAACTAAGCTTCTCCACTGCATCTCAAAATGCAGATGAAAAGTCATTTATGAGAGAGAATAAATTTCTAATAGTTTAAACAAGATGCTATGACTGAAAAATTCATTGTACACAATTATTCAGCATAATAATAGTAATGGATTTGATATTGTTTCACCTGAGTAGAATTTGTTTTTGATACAAATTTTGGCATCATTCTTTAGACAGATATCTGATTTATACTGATTTTAGAATACATTTTAGGCATTAACATTATTATATTTTAGTTCCTTATTTTGCAATTATGTGTTTACATTAGAAACTGTAATAATTATAAGAATTCAATGTATTTGATATTAAATTCATAAATTTTTTTATTCACAACTTAAAAGCTTTAAATTATAATATTTAGAAAAATAATTACAACATATTTAATCAATCATTTACAAGTTTTTTTTTTATAAACAAGAAAGTTTACATAAAATAATTCAAAGGAAACTCATTATATAAACTTAGAATTTCTAAAACATCAAAACATCAATTTTAAAGGCTATTTCTTATAAATTTACATAAAATTTTTGAAAAAACTCAACAAATACATATTGAAACAAAAGTCTCAAAAGATTATTTTAATTATTAATAACTTATATGATGTACACTAAAGCCCACAATTTTGTATGTATGTATGTATGTATGTATGTATGTATGTATGTATGTATACATAGCATGAGATACTGTACATGTTCAATATATTTCATNTATATACAGTATATTAAATTTGTATATAGTTTGTTTTAGTAATTTTTTATCTAAATGTTGCAAATGTAAATGTTTATAATGAATATTTTCAACTATTGTTCTTTTCTAATTCGAAAACATGAACTATTTAATAACCAATAATTAAATTAAAAATTTTTGTTGATATTAACAAATAAATAATATTTTTGTAATTAAAAATATCACAAATATAAATTATTTTAAAAAAAATAATAAATCAGATATTCTGTCTTTATAATAAGACAGTTTGACTAATACATGTGAGATAGGCAGTTCAATATTATAACATTTGCAATATATTAATTAAATTGTTTTAATTTTTTCAAAATGCAGGAAATATAGAATAGTTTCTATGAAAATTTTCTATTAACATTTTAAAATAATAATAAACTGTAACTTGATTGTAAATTATAAACAGTTTAAAAATTTTTAAATTAAAATTTCCTTAAATATTTTAAATAATCAACCTTAAAAAATAAATAATAAAACAGCAATCTTAAAATTTAATTCACTATTTTAAAAACATTGTTACTATTAATAAATACTACATACATGTTATAATATCCTTGCAATTATATTTATTTCTAATATTGTAATTATTGCATTAATGAATGATTATTATTATTAAATAATTTCTATAAATCTAATTTTATAATTAAAATGAGAAAATCAATACAACTTTAGATTCGTTGTTATATTTAGGAGAGAATAAAAAATTCTTTTAATTCTTAATTCATAACTGTAGTTTGTAATTTATTTACAAAACTTTCATTGATAAGTATGTATCACATAATGCAATTCTTTACTTGCTACACATTATTTTTACCAATTAAGGCACCTGCTGATTTACTTAGAGCAACTTATATACTTTAAAATTTTTGATTATTTACAATATTTAATCATTAAAAATATATCATGCTACTGACTTTAATCCTAGCCAAAAATAACCTGCTACTGAACCTAGCAACCAAACTTTCCAATATAAACTCCGTCCATAAATTGTGGTAACAAGTGGAAAAGAAATCAGGACCATAAGAATAAATGATCCAAAGGTATTAGTTAATTTCACAGGAATTTTAATACTTGTTGGAAATGCTTCACATGGATTTTCATAAAAACTTTTCAATAATCTGAAAATAAAAAATTTACCTCATATAGCAAGAATTTAATATGAAATAAAATAAATTTTTATTTTTGAAATGATCATTTTAACATTATAATTAACAATTTTTTTTATCTGTCTACTGATCATATAATTTGATTGGTTAAAATATCAATACTGTACATAACTCTGATTCTAATCATCATCATTTTAAACTTCAAGAAAATATATTAAAAATACAAATCATCATCATAAGTTTAATCTTTGTGTAAGCAAACAAATACAAGAAGTCCTAAGATAAAAATAAATAAATGTTCTATTTGTACATTTCCAAGTATTTAGGAAGTTTTATTTATCTAAATATATAACTTAATTTGCTTGAAAATGAGAAATTGCATCATTGATAATGATTTTCTGTATAGTTATGACTTCTATTTATGAGTATTTGATTTGAGAATTCAATACAAGTTGTTCTCCATTTACAAAGTAAAATATTTGATATAATAAATGTTAAATGCTATTTATGAGAACAAAATATTTTAATCATAAATGAAATGAGATTAAGTCTTAAAAACATGATTAAAATTATTTTATATAAATAAATAATGATAACTCAGGCATTTATATACATTTGCATTGCAATTTCATCTTAGGTTCATAATTGTCTCATGTTTTACTTTCCCAGCTGTTATGTATACATTTTTAAGTATTGAAATCATTGTCAAATTTGACACACTGAGTTTTGAGACTCCTGAACCCTAAAATAGCAAAAACTTTTGTGTGTGTGTGTTGGCATCTATTTCACATAATACCTCAAAATGGGTTGAAGATTAAGAAACAAAATTTGGCACAGTAGTTTGCATATAAGGGGCATTGGCACTATTAAATTTTGGTCATAAATGGTCGAGATAGAGAGTGATCACATATCATATCTAAACTGGGGTTGGACTTAATTGTTTTTGTTTCTTGTTAGCATTTAAAGTTTTTCATAAAACTCATCTCTACTCTCAAAATTAAGCTTTTGCCATTTTATAATAATTAAAAAATATAGAAAATTTTATTACAAAATCTCATAACAGTGGGGAAATTCATGCAATTTGTTGCTAGATTTTTTTTGTTGTATATTCATTTAGAATTATTAGTTAAAAGATAAATGGTTTGAACTTATAAAAAATTCTCAAAGTTTCATTAAATAGATTAAAGTACTGCAAAACAGCCATTTATTTTATTTACAGAGAATGGGTAGAATGATTTGGCTGTTCAAGCTATAAATTTTGACCAAAACAAATATAGTAGTCTCGAAAACTCGGCAGTCGATAACCTGGCAGTCCGGATAACTTGGCCACACCCTGGCAGGGCAAAAAAATCCTTAGTTAATTAATTTTCATTATAGACAGCTTTATGCCTCATAAAGTATTTTTCTGAGGTCTGTCTTATCAGGTAAATTACTGTACACAGTGTATTCATTAATTTTCATTTTCATGTAGTAAAGACTCTATGCCTTCATAAAGTACGTACTTTTCCTTTGTTTAAGAGGATTTGGGCAGTTTATTCTGTGTTGTATTCTCAAACAAACAATACCTACAAGTACAGTACAGTATTTTCTGAGGAAACACTCATACTTATTTTTTTAACCCCATTCCCAATAACCCGGCATTTTCACAAACTTGGCCACCCTTCGGTCCACATTAGGTCGAGTTTTCGAGACTCTACTGTAATGGAAAAGTTTGACCCTATTTTACAAGAGATTTTCAGCAATGAGGTACACTCATCAATCAAGGTCATACTGTTAAAAATTTCAGATTTTGATTATAAGCCAAATTTTGTTTATTGGATTCATTATTCAAGAAACTGTATAAGAAATAGATATTTAAATTAATAAAAATCATACAAATGGTATATTTTGTTTATAATTAATGTTTTAACATTATAATAATAATTATATTACTTTTATGATATCTTTTTTCTATATGACAAAAGATTTCTCCCCCAAAAATTAAAAACATTTTTAAAAATTAACCAGATATTTTTACAATAATATCAGACTTAGAAAATGTTTTGATAATATAGAAAGTATGATAAAAATAAATTAAACACAGCAGTGATTTTTGAGATTTGATTTAAATAATCAAATGTTGTTTTTTCAATTAGAAAATTATTTTATTTTTATTCTAAATACATGAAAGAACAATTTCAATTACCATTGTTCATAACAGTTATGCAGGCATATTTATATTTTGGGAATATATCTGTTTGGAAAATTATCTTACAGGTTAATGAGGACAATCATGTTAGTTAGTAGCCTACATTTTCACATTTTAAATTTATTGCATTAATGATTGCACAGTTTCTTCTGGAATACAATGAGAATAAATAATACTAGTAACAAAGTGAAAATACATTTGCTTGTAAAATAACTCTCCAAATAAACACTCAATAAACACTTATAAAGACAGGAAAGTAGTTTATAGTGATTAGTTTACATTAATAAATGTACTGTCATAAACTTCCTGTGGGTTACATGTATTTTAAAGTCAATTTGAAAGAAAGTTAAATTATGTACCAATGCAGGTTTCTGTCAATTGATGAGTTTATTTTCAAATTATTTCTTGTCCAAAATTTTGAAAATTGAGATAGCAATTACTACAGATTCATTTATGGTTTATCCTTTTATTTCTGTTTTCACTTTGTTTCAAAACATCATATATATGAAATAGAATTTTTTAAGTTTATGAGCTTGCAATGAAAACAACTTTTGTCTACAAGATGTCTACAGTGAAAACTTTTCAGTGCAAAATGTCTCATCCTAAAGATTTGTTTTCAAACATCCTTTCTCCCACCTTTAATTTCAAAACATCCTTTGTATTCCTTTGTCGAAACTAATTTATTTTGTAATTTTGCAGATGAAAATGAAAATGAGTATGAAAAAACTCTTATTTGTCTAAAGAATTTGAATAAAAAATATTTCTGCATTCAATAGCATTATGACACAATAAAACATTTTTTTTAATTTCCGAAAAAGTTGCAAAATGGACAAGATGTTTTGAAAATAAGATTTTCAATTTTAAAATGCAACAGTGAACTGATCCAATAGCTTTTTCTTTGTCTAAACTTACTAAAAGCATCTTTAGAAATCATTAAAAAAATCCTTTATGTGCTGCATCATTCATCTGTCATTGCAATTTTTTTGAGGTGTACCAAAGACACACACACATACATGCATCACCTTTAGTTTTTTTGAATGTCAATCTACATTTTAATTATTCTTCTTAGATATTACTAGTTAAACTCTTATCTTGAAATCTGATATAAAGAGAAAAATCTCCATCTTTTTTAATGATTTTCAAAGCACAAGTTTTACTTTCCTGGCTATTATGTATACAAAACAAGGGAAAGTATTGGAATCATGCCAAATTTCACCCTCTGAATATTTGCAAATCTCCAGATTTTGAGACCTCCTGAATCCAAAAGAGTCAAAAAATTCCATGGATATGTATGTATGTATGTATGTATGTATGTGTGGTGTTGACATCTATTTCACTTAATATCTCAGGATAGGGTAAAGATTAAGTAACAAAATTTGCATGACAGATTGTATATGAGGGGCATTGATGCTATTAAATTTTAGTAGTTAAAAGTTGAGAGGGTGGGGAGATAAAGGTGGTTGCGTGTATCTCCAGTAGGATCAGACTTAATTAATGATGATTTTACTCATTATTAATATTTATACTTTTTTTTTTTATAAAACTTATCCCTACCTTCAAAATTAAGCTTTTAGTCATTTTATAGTAATTAAAAATATAAAAAGTTTTTTATAACAAATTCTCATAAAATTTATTTATTTTGCTTAATAATAACAATTTTTTAAAAAAAATAAAAACTCATAACAGCCAAGAAAGGTACACAACTTTTATTGTTGTTTTTTTAGTATCTAATTGTCAATTTTAATGCATGTCAATTCTCTACAGTAAATAAGAGCTGAGTAATCAACTTTCAAATTTGTGTTGTTGGATATTTTAGAGTCTGAGAAACTTTCTTTGCAAAATCAATAATGATGGCATTAACCACTCAGCAGTGACTGATGGATGTATCCGTCAAGGGCGATCATGTGGCATTGGTGAATGACAGAGATATTGCCAAAAACTACTGCGAAAAAAAATTCACATAAGAAAGGAATTACGTAACAATAAAAAATGATTTATCTTCTTGAAAATGTGTTCTGTTCTATTTCTATTGCTTATCCAACACAATGTAGTGCAACGAAAACTGGTTAAAAATATTATAAAAAATTAATATATAATAAATTTTTTCCACAATAGTCATGAAAAATAAAATATGAAATATTCAATTCAGCATTAATTAACTTGAGACGACAGAATACACTAATGAGCACTATAGTGATGTGACGTAGAAAGAGAAAAACCAGATCAGAAATGTAGAGAAAACTTTAACGGTTAGAAGATTTTATAACTATAACCAATATTAGCCAAGTAGAATTTAACCCAAAAATGATAATTTATTAGTGGAATATAAGTTTTGTTCCTGTGCCTTTTTTTTTTGGATTATTGTGAATAAAAAAGGAATACAAGTTTATAGCAGGTATGTCATTACACGAGAATATTTATATTAATTGAATTTTGTATAACTGTAACTCAATATAAAATTGAAATTTTAGTTGAAAAGGTATATCATGTTAACAGTGTACTCCTCCTTATCATAATTTTATCGCATAAGATAAAGATTGGATTAATCATGGTATGTTTATATTGTTTCATATATTCACTATTATGTAATAGTTAACAATACAAATAATGATATATTTTGCAAAATCAGAAATGTCAGAATAAGTATGTAAGTTGAATGCATGCAATATGTATGTGAAACCTTGTTCAGATTGCTGAACCAGTAATATCCAGATATGCTGTGCTGGTGAGTTAACTAATTTGTCTATACCCTTTTTAAACAGTGTAAGAATTTTAAAGTATTGTATGTTAAAAAAATTTTTTTATTCTTAATAATTTTAGTTGACTGAAGAGAGGCATATTTAGCCTGAAACGCGAGATGAAAGCACGTATCAACTAGAATAAAGGTGAAAGAAAGCCAAGTGAACGTTAAGTTGCACTACATTGTGTGAGACTCAGCCTTGTTTGTTTAATTAATTGTCAACAAGACTGATTAATTGACTGATTAATTGAACAAGACTGACCTAGACTTTTAATGATACCATTTTATTAAACTACTGTCAACTTTCACACCTGGGAATTAATCACTTGACAAGTTCTCAGCAACTAAAAAGAAGCTTTCTCATAACCTCACAACCTATTGTTGCAAGTTTGTCAGTTGAATATAGCAACAGACTGATCTTCGAGGCAGTTGTCCTTCGTCCTACCAACTGTGCAGTCGCCTGTTTTTCGAAGCTTAACTATTACCCGAGTGGAATTTTGTGCCTATTGCCTCCTACTCCTTCATTTTTTGATTCCAGATTGGATTACCTAATTAACGACACCTTAGTGAGTGCCTTTGATTACCTGAACGGTGAATTGACTTTATTATACGCCTAACCGAACTTTTTCCTCCAAAGATCACAGAAAGTACCTGTTCCAGAAATCACCAAAGGATAGATAAATCAGGTATCTATCACCACTCATTTTAATGTGAATTCTCTCTCTCTTACCATGAAAACCAATTATTCCTCTTTAACAAGGAACGTGTTTCCTGTATTCAATGATTACCATTAAACATTATTTTGTTACCCTACTCTGCATAATCACTTCCAGTGTGCTGTCTCTCTCTCTCACTCCATCCAGATCCAGATCGCTCAGTAATGCAACCGCTCGTTTGACCTATTTCCAAACTGTCGTGGGTTCCATGTCACCCAGGACACGGTGGTGTCAATCCTGACGAGGCACTAAAGAGGTGCTGACCCTTCGGTCACAATTGTGTTGGATAAGCAATAAAAAAAGACTTTTCTTTACTAGACATAACTGTTTACAAAATCTTTTTCCAAAACAATAATGAGAAAAACGTGTGGGAAAATACTTTAAAAATTCCCATGTTTATTCTCCTCTACATAGGGATAGCACCATACCTGACTAACCTACTGCTGAAAGGTTAATGACAATTACTTTATCTCTTGTTTACTCTACACGTAATAGCACAATCATTCCTGCCCAGAACCACATTGGCCAAATTGTCTTTTGTTGAACAGACTATAACTAAGTTTTCAAAGTCATTTTTGATTATCAATTAATCAGTCTTGTTGACAATTAATGACATGTGACTAAATAAGTGTAATGCTAGTACATTATAAATTCTTTCTCTTTTCATTACTGTAAAGTGAATTTTGACTGTTAAAATAATTATACATTTAAAAACAATATCTCCAGCTTGATCAGGTAATGTTTCATTTCATTTCGGCATAATGACATTACTTCTTGCCATTTTGCTAAGGAAAGCAAAATTAAAGTCCACTATTTTATTTCTTTATTTTTTTTAAAACTGTATAGTGTAAAAGTCCAATTTATATTAATTAAACTAATATTTATTTAATAATAATTTAAATTATTTACAATTTTTGAGTGAGAAGATGGTAATAAAATAAATTTTTGCATGTTTTAACTGTAATTAAATGAATAAAACAGAATTTCAGCAACCTATTTGATGACCTGACAATTACAATCCACTAACTAGAGAAGTTCATCTTTTATTGAACAGGTAGAACTATTTTTATTGAAATTTTTGATCACTAATGCAGTTTAGGCAGTTCTTGTCTGAAGTAATCCTTTTCATTTTGTTTCATTTATGTTAGTAATTCATTGTAGATGAATTATAACAGAAATAAAATAAAAGAAACAGGGAAAAAAGAAATATCTGAGATAATGTTTTTTAATCCCCCTATACTGGTTAAGTATGTTTTCAATGGTAACTTTGAAAATGCAAAATAATAACAGTGGGGTATGCAGCATTTTTAGTTTTGCTTAGCAATTTTCTGCATTGTGTTTAATAGTGAGAAATAAACAAACATGGCAATGTTGAAATTTTATAATTAAAAATAAAAGAAAAAATTGTTTTTAAAAGCAAATTCCTCTTTAATTAACCTGGCAGTCTATAGAAGAGAAATATAATTTAAAAGCATTTCAAACAATAAATGATTTAAATATATAAATTTAAACAATAACAAACAAAACTTACAACATAATTAGAATAGATAATTAATAATTTAAAATACAATCATTGACAATAAAAGTTACATACTTAGAAAGAACTATTTAATCAATACAAAACTAGGCATATATTTCAAATTATTATTTTTGTTGTTCTGAAAATGATCTAAGTGTTCAAAAATGTTTGACATTTAACCTACTCTTGCTGTTTTGGTGTTTTCTTTTACTAATATACAGCTGTAGTCAATCACACCATGTGCATAGCTGCATATCATGTAATGTCACTAGAATGCCTTAAAATCAGTATCTTATAAAACGGCTATCGGGGGTTCATTGTATTCAGAATTTTCTGTGTACCAGCTGTTTAGAATGTTCCAATGCAAAGCATGCCTATATACTGCACTCAAAGACATTATGCACAGCTGACAGAGTTCGAGAAAGGCCACATCGTCAAACTAAAGGAAACAGGATGGTTATTTTACCAAACTGTCCTCCATCTAAACCATTCTGACCAACTGTGAGGTAATGTTGGAAGCAGTGGATGCATGAGAACTAGTGATGTAACGAATATTCGGTTACTATTCGGTATTCGGACTATTCGGCCTATTTTTCGCTATTCGGCCGAATACCGAATATTTAATCACTATTCGGCCGAATACCTAAAAACAGGAGTAAGAAATAGCAAAAACACAGTAAATTAATCATTTTGATATTTAGATTTAATGTTATCGGGTTAGTGTTGTTTGTTTATATTTATTTATAACTTATAACATGCACAAAATAAAAAAAAATAATATTAGTCACACGTATTTACAATTTATAATTACAAATATCAGCACACGTACACACCTATTCGTTCGAGAATTGTCACACACATCCCCTGTCTATCTGTTTTGTCTTTGCTCTTTCCTTTCTCTTTCCTCTATCTTTCTAGCCCACGTATGCTTATGCATACATCATAATACGTGCTCACGATACTTTCGATTCGTCACCTTTCCGTCGTAGATTTTTCATTTTACAATTACGTGACTCATAGCCTGGTGATAATGGAGAAAAGAGACAGATAGGATGTCGGTATATGTCACAGTTATGATTTCACAGATTCGAGACAGCTCGATAGCCCGAACGATCCCAGGCTTTCGCCTGTGCACACTAAGTGACTTTCGTTACAAGCATTTAGCTTTCCGAAGTCTATGACAACACTTGTTTGGCATTGACGGCCGCAAATTTCGCGCCAATAAGCTGCTTCGACTTGTTTGATTATGCTATCAACTCAATGTCATATTTATTTTCACATTTTCACTTTGCGGTCTTTCTCTGTTCTTTTTCCGTAATTTACACATGTAGGTCATTTCGTTGTTATTTGCATTTGATATCATCATTTATCACATACTGCCACAACGCTCTTGTCTGTCCGCTACAACTGTCAAGAATTAACGCGATTGGCGAAGAATTGTGACAGTGGGCGAATGGAGAGCAGGTCCTGGCCATAATGCGGTTTGCGTGCCAATTTTCGTACGTGCGTTAATCGAGTTGAGCCGAATAGTTTGGCCGAATATTCGGCTACGCTCCTGGCCAAATATTTGGTATTCGGCCTGAGGCCGAATATACTATTCGTTACAACACTAATGAGAACACATACACACAGCAGAAAGACCCTGAATGTCCTAGACAGACTATCAAAACATAACTGTTTGATCACAAGACAAACACAAACAGCTGCAATGACATCTCTGGTCACCACCCAAAAACAGGTGACTAAGCAGAGTCAAAATTTGCATGAATAGTAGCTACGAGTCCTACCACCCCAATATTCTCAGTTTCATCGACATTGGTGCTGTGACAGAGAAGCATGCATTGTTATGGACTGACAATTGGTCTTTACCAACAAACCCAATGCTATTTGGGAATGGATGATTATTGGTGAAATATTCAATCCCACCTTTACTGCTGAATGGCACATTGCTCCCATTGCTGACATGCTGGTCTGGAGAACCATTTCATATGATAGTTAGTTATTTCTATTTGGACATTGACAACACAGCAGTACATTCAGCAAATCCTGCTCTTTCTTGACAAGGATCTAAATAGCCATTTTCAATAAGATAATGTTTACCTGCATATGGAATTCTCTGAAATGCACCTTTCTATTAATGCTATACCATGCTAACTCCTTTAATCAAATCTTTTTTTAAAATACTCCAGCTTCAAATTAGCCAAATTTATATTTAAAATTTCAAGGTTGAATAAAAGTGGGTTCGATTTTTCCAATAATTTGAATTAATCATATTTGACTGTATTTGTAGACAAACATTAGAGTTTATATTATAATAAACAATTTATACTTACTTATCCTTCTCATGATACACTGTAAATAACCAATTTTTCAAATCTTCACTTGTCTTAGGCACCACAGAAATATCAATTCTGTTTACATGAATGTGAAGTTGCTTGCATGAGCCAGTTACCATTTCTGTAAAATAATACATAAGAATTGGCTTTTCCATAAACTAGTTAAATAATAGGAACTATTTTTATTGAAATTTTTGATCACTAATGCAGTTTAGGCAGTTCTTGTCTGAAGTAATCCTTTTCATTTTGTTTCATTTATGTTAGTAAT